ATTTGCATTATTTCAGTGTTCCTTGACATTTCAGCAGGGACTATTTAAGCATAACATTTGTTCCCTTCCCTGAGTTCTTTGGTCTAGTTGAACCTATAACTCATGTCTGTACCCTGAAGATAGCTGAGGATGAGTTGAGTGCATTTTCTGCCCCTCCCACAGCGTGTCCCTTAACAAGCTTCCTTTTTTTTTTTTTTGCCTTCATCATGCCTCTCTATTTGGCTTTTAGGGGCAGGTGGCCTTGGATCCAAAACTCCAGTTTCAGTCTCATGATTAAGAATAAGTTAATTTTAACTCTAGGTATTTATTGATTGGCAGAAGGGAGGGTATTACCATTTTTGACTTAATGTAACATTTGCTGACTTGTAAAAGGCAAGTACAAAATATTGCATCTTCATTTTCCAAGGCTAATTCATATAGCCACAGTTGTGATGGGTGTACAGATGTTCTTGCAGAGATTTAAGAGAATGGTAGAAAGCAAGCACATTCAGTCAAACACTTATACTAACTTTCGGTCAAACACATTCAGTCAAATACTTATACTAACTTTCAGTACACTATTTGACTGTACTGAAAGGGGTGGAGAGGTTTACCTCAGAGAGGTGTGCAGATGTAAATCCCAAAATACCACACTTAGTGTCCTCTTTCAAAAAGGCCTTGGGATGTTGCCCAGTATGGGAAACTTGACCAAGTGGCAAATTGGATTTTGGTGATCTTGGTCTACACACCTATTTGGAGAATTGATTTACATAAGCTGTGTATGCACACATTGACATCACACTCACCCCCCCACACACACACACCCTCTACCAACATAGACCCTGTTTCCTGTTAAGGCCTTGACTTTGTGTATGTAGTTGTACACCTGGAGTTTTGCGGGTTTTGATATGGTTTTTACTTTTTTTCCCTCCCCCATATTTTGGCTTGTGTTTAACCTGCTAGATGGATGTCTGCTGAGCTCTCCCCAAGAGTCTATTTTGGTGCCTGTGTGCACACTGATAAGGGAAAGAGAAGCATCCTTGGTTCTCTCAGCTCTGTTGTGCAGCACTCCTTCAGCACTGTTTTTATCTGGCTCCTTGGTAACAACAACAAACAAACAACACCCCAAAAATCACAAGAAAAAAATGTGACTTGCCTATTGGCTCTCCAACCATTTCCATGATAGTCACAAGCCTGTGAAAGACTAAAACTAAGAAACAGGACTTGTTTCTGTAGCTGCTTCTGATTGCCCTTTTCCTATCACCTTTGGTTTGCTTGGCTGTGTTATGTTATGACTTCGAAAGTGCCAGGTGGTTGCTACTTCTGAGACCTGAGGTCTTTGGCAGTTGTGCCTGGGGCTGTGGATGGATCTCCACACTGTTTCTAGGGTGTTTGGCTCTTTGCTTCCCTGACTCTAGAGGTGAATTTGTGAGTGCCAGCACCTAGGTTTGCAAAGCTCTCCCAGGTATGCAACCAAGGCTCCCCAGAGAAGTCATTGAGAAGGTAGTGAAGATGAGTTCCTGCTGTTTGTATGGCTCTTTCAAAAGATGGTAGGTAGAACCCATGTAACAGGTACTTTCAAGTGTTTGTAGTCTGCATTGATTCCTGATACACTCTGTGTGTGTGTGTGTGTGTGTGTGTGTGTGTGTGTGTGACTTGTACATCAAGGATGTCACTCTGGACCCGAACTCCACAGTCACCTTGCGGTGCAGGGCAGCACAACTTAACCCTGGGGCATCCTGCAAGCTTCACCATCGTTTTGATTCATACTCTTGGTATAGATTTCTGTGTCTCCCTGCTTAGGGTATCAGTACAGTGGAAGTCAAATCTGTTGCCATTGTTTTTGGCAGCACTGGGGTTTGAACTCAGGGCCCCACACTTGCTAGCCAGGAGCTTTTACTGCCTGAGGCACTCCCCCAGCAATGTTGCCATTTTTTGCTGTAGGTAGCTGGATATGTGTCTTTTTCTTCTTTTCTTTTTCTTTTCCCTCTCCCCAGGTTTTGTTTTATTACAAATAGTAGAACTGTTTCCAGCTCCCAGTCCAACACATTCTTACTTCATTTTCACCCTTCACTGTTGCCCCCTCTTAACACCCACCACAAGTTACCACAGAATGTTTCCTTTGTATATAATATTTATTTTAACACTCTATTTAATAGTATTTATTTTAGAAAATCTGCGATTGTATGAATTCTTGTTTGTGAATAAAAACAAGTGAAAAACTGAATGTACTGCTCTAGAAAATATCTATAAATATGTAATGTTAAATATAAAGAGTGCATCCACTTCTTTTAGTATATAGAGTGTGCAAGAATTAAAATCATTCCAGTAAAAACACATTAATCCTCCTTTGACAGCTCTTCTAAGATATAAGGCCCTCAGAGGAGACTAGTGATGATTGTTTAAGAGTAATGGCTAATGAGAAAAGTTTTCAAAATTTCTTAGTTCCTTTCCTTATCAGATTAGTACAAACAATAATAATTTTGTATCTTACCTAGTAGGAAAGCATTGATTTTATGTTTTTGGATGATTTGGAGTATAATTTATGACTTCTGGTGCATTGTAACTATGTAACAGGTGCTTAAAATCTGCTTTTGCTAAAGAGCACTGACCCCTTCCTTGGGCCCAGGAATTAACAAAAGTCTGGAAGCAGTTAAACAATGACATTCCCCCTTTCCATAGAAATGAAGGAACACATTGACAGTAGGGAAAATGTAACGAAGACTACAAAAGAGAAAAACTTTTGATTGTACTCAGCTTAAGTGCTGGCCAGTTTTCTCTGCTTCTTATTCAAACTGACATGTTTTTCCCCCTTTGCTTCTTTCTTTCCCTGCTAGGGAAACCAAGTTTAACACTCTTTAGTGTTCAATTATACTGGGCAGTCTTCTCCTTTCTCTCTCTGACCACCAAGGAGTAAACCTGTCAACCAGATATGCAGTTTCGAAGATGTGATGCTAGTAAACCAGGAGATAAGAGCCAGTGTTTGGACATGTATTTTTGTCATATACTTAAAGTGAGCTCTTAAAGTCCGCTTAAATAAAGCTACATTTTCTTTCAGAAATGGGACAGCTGAGGTTTGAGCGGTTGATTGTCCATCATCCTCCTTATCTGACAAATAATAGACTTTAATTCCTTTTCCTCAAAACCCTGCTCTTGTTATTTGTGAACTGGCATTTATTTCAGTTATTATTACTACTTTTTCAGTCATACTTAATAAATGTTGATTATTGCTATTTTGCTATGAAAATTGCTTACCTTTTCTTTTTTATAAAATAAAGAATGCCCTAGTTTTTGAGGGTTTGTTTTAGGCAAAATGGCATGCTAGATAGCCTGGTAGGTTTCAAGGTATTTTCCATGCCCTCTAGGTCTTCATATCCAACAATTCTCAATGTTCAACTGTGAGGCCGAAAAAGTTTGAAAACTTACTGGGCTATAACCTAAAAGTATAGGATATGTGAAAACACATTTAAATATGGAGTACCTTTATTCAACACAGCAAGGGGGGGGTCACTATATCAGAAATATCTAAGACTGCAGTTATTTTAATTATGTATGGCTAAGCTTTTATCCATATGACTCCTCAGTCATAGTGCTGAAGTCCCAATGTCTGCCAGACTTCCAAGAACAAGTTTCTCTTATAAAACCTCCAGGGTTGGCTGGGCATTGGTGGCTCACACCTATAGTAATAGCTAATCACTTACTCAGGAGGCAGAGATCAGGAGGGTTATGGTTGGAAGCCAACTGGGGCAAATAGTTCGAGAGACACTATCTTGAAAAAAACCCATCACCAAAAAAGAGGGCTGGTGGAGTGGCGCAAGGTGTAGGCTGAGTTCACAATTCCAGGACCGTGAAACAAGCAAACAAAAAACATCTCCAGGATTTACTGTGGCTAACCTTAACAGTGTTTTCACTGTTAATTTTATCACTCAACTAGCCTCTTTGTTTAGTGATACTTCAGGGGAAATTACATTTTAATAAATATTTAAGAGCAACCTCTCAATAACAGATTGTTACTCAACCCTATCACTAAAATGAGAAATTTTCTGAAATCCTTTAAGAAGCCCATAGTATTCCAAATAGTAAGCTTCCTTCTAATTGCCAAATTACCATCTGTCTGTATACTTTCAGAACAGATTTCTTAGTTTTGCTTTCCTTCAGCTACCAGTTATGAATCTTGAGGAATATTATCTTCTATGGGAACTATTTTATATTATGTAGACGTTACTGTGGTTTTCCATTGAAGAGAAATTTGTTTTCTGATTCGTCTCCCTTCTTCGGATGCCACTGTGCCCAGGCTAATTTTCGTGTTTTTAAAGATAAACTATTTATGTCTGTGAGATTTTAGAGGTGAAGAGGACTTGAAATAGTAATCATCTTTTGAGTGTCAAACGAAAAGTGGAGAAAGCTCATAATTCCTGCTTCTTTTAAGACATGTTGAAGTACACCCATTTCTTGTTGTTTTGTTCCTTATAGAAATTAAACAGAGGCTGTCAAATAGCCAGAGCCATCAAACGTCACATCCTTCCAATTCTACTTTACAAGTTAAGCCTTGATCTTTAAAACAGCACAGGGGTGTACTCCACACAGCACTTGGTATCAAGGATCTACTTCAAAACCACAGGAAGCAAACACATGTGATGCAATGCAGAGCCAAGACTTCTGGCCTAGGAGATTACTTCCAAAACCAAGTTGGCATCCTGGAGATACAGCAGTAGCGGGCAAGTCCTACTAGTGTATGGTAGCCAGTGTAAGGGAATGACCAAGCAAACATGGAGAAAAACTGGTAAAGGGCATTTAGCTTCGAGACCTCAATGCCAGCGGATTGTTATTACCTGTTAAATGAACACTTACGTTTATAGCACTGCAGCATCTTCCAGAGAAAATTTAGTTGGCTCTTAAAAGAGCCTTTGTTTTTATCGTTGACAGCTACACGGTAAGAGTCGTTACGCCCTCTCCCCCCGAATCCGACGGGCCAGCTGGATGTCCTTGGGCATGATGGTCACTCGCTTGGCGTGGATGGCGCACAGGTTGGTGTCCTCAAACAGGCCCACCAGGTAGGCCTCGCTCGCCTCCTGCAGCGCCATGACGGCCGAGCTCTGGAAGCGCAGGTCGGTCTTGAAGTCCTGCGCGATCTCGCGCACCAGGCGCTGGAACGGCAGTTTGCGGATCAGCAGCTCGGTGGACTTCTGGTAGCGGCGGATCTCGCGCAGCGCCACGGTGCCGGGCCGGTAGCGGTGGGGCTTCTTCACGCCGCCGGTGGCCGGCGCGCTCTTGCGGGCGGCCTTGGTGGCCAGCTGCTTGCGCGGAGCCTTGCCGCCGGTAGACTTGCGAGCCGTCTGCTTGGTACGAGCCATGTCTAAGTTGCGGTGTAAATTAGCCTGGCCCCTCTATTTATACAGGAACCGAATCACTCTGATTGGATTGTGAGCAGTTGCTTTTTGTCCTTGGGTGCTAAATTCCGGAAGTGCTGTGAGCGATTTACGATTGGTTTGTTGCTTTCATTTCAGCTTCTGATTGGTTATTTTCTGTTGGCAGCTGGCCTTTTAAAAAAGATTGGTTATTATCTGTTGGTAGATGGTCTCTTTAAAAATACAATTTTCTGTGCTTCTAGTTTCTTTTCTTTGTTAATGCTTCTTCATACCCTCGAGCATTAAACATATAACTTGTTCTTGAACTATTGTTTAACTGCACAACAGAGAATATGTTTGAAAAAGAATTTATTCTTTTTATTTCATAACACCCACTCTCTTTTTATGCTTATGTTTTGATTCCTTACCATCTATTCGAAAATTTGGAGCTGGGGATTTAGTGACTGCTTAGTATCCGCTAAGCTCTGTTTTCCATTCTTGGGACCCTAAAACAAAACAAAGCCATTGTTTTGTCATGAGTCTTAGTTTCATTATTTGTGGTTTAAACCATCTTCTGTGATATTCTGGTTAAATGTGAAGAATTGTGGGCGTCATTCCAAATAATTTGTATCAGAATTGTAACATCTTGGACTCTGCTCCTTTAAGGGCGGGTGTGACGCAAGCGGACAATTTAACAGTGTTGCTTTGTCTGCTGAATTTAAAATATTGCTCTGGGCACAATTGCGCGAGCTGCAAGAAAGCTTTTTCAATGTACAATCTTGAAAAAGATGGCGGCGTAGTCGGAAGCCGATATTTCCATACCGCAGTGGCGCAGCATCTCTGGGTTTTTGCGAGAGAGCAGTTATCCTGCAGAATGTCTGACATGCCAACATAGCTTCTGAAGGGACTGCTGTATTCCAGATAACAGATCTTCTTTCTTTGGTTTTAAGTTCCCGATTCTTTTCAATATATAAAAGGACATTTAATGAAAAGTATTCTTAGTGTGTGAACTAATAACATAGTATTGTAAACTAACCCATTATAGTCTTGCCTAAGTGATCGTTTTTACCGCCAATAACAAAACAACGAAAAACTCCAGCTGCTTCGGAATTTCTAATATACATACTTTTGATGTACTGGCTAGTTTGACCCAATCCGAGTTTAGACGTGTAAGTCTTCATTTGCATACAGCTCCTGTGCATAGGAAGTCTGTGTGTCATTGAAGGCCTTCTTGTTTTTGTGTTGCAGTAAGATTGTCATTAAGTTCACCAGTTTCAAATACAAGATTTTGTAGATCTCACTGCCAAATGACTCTTATTGGAGACATTTGCTTCTGCTGTTAATATATCAAGATATTCCAGTATGTTTTGTGAAGACGTTTTCCCTTGCTTATAAATTTAACTTGTTCTTAATATGTAAGAAACACCATGACTGTGTGGTTTATCTCAACGTTCCCTTATTGCAACAAATAATTTTAATATGTAATTGTGTCCAGTAGGAAATGTGCTAAGGCTCTAAAGATTTCTAGTATTATTTAATGCTAGTTTTTGTTTTTAGGGCTTAAATGAAGCCTTTTAGATAGTGATGTTCAAACATATTGAGGTCCTCAAACTTGCCCAATGTTTGAATTTAAAAATAATGTAAAGGTGGCTACCTGTGAAGTTTAAAGTTGCCTTTTTAAAAAATTACTTGTGCCTGGCTCATCGTATTATAATTATGTGTGCTGAAATTGAAAGCTACATTTTATAAAGGTGATATAATATCAGCTATCTTAGATAATGGACTATGTCTGGGGGAGTTCTTATTCTTGAATCTGAAAGTTTAATCTGCCTACTGCTATTGTGACTGTTTCTATATTAACCCTCAAATTTTTCTCAACAAGAAAGTTTTTTTTTTTTTTTGTGGCACTGGGATTTGAACTGAGGAGCTCATGCTTGCTAGGCAGGTACTCTTAATGCTTGAGTCACTCTGCCAGTCCAGAGATTTTCTTTATTCACCTTATTTTGGGTTTTCCTTAGGCTGTTGTTTATGTATCTTTCCCCATGTGTGAATTCAAGTTCTGATTCCTAGTTATGTCCTAATTTTCTTTTTTATTTTAGTTTTGTATTGCTTGTCTTCAGTGTTTGGATGGAGGTGGGGGTGCAGGAGAGACCTGTTAATGGTGGGTGCCTGCGAGAATATGGCTAGAAATGTATTGGTTGCACATATTCATGTTTTGAAGTTACATTCTTTGTAGTGCTAAAACTGAAATGAACTAGATAAGTTGCTTTTGAGCATGTGCCATGGTTTAGAAACTTGCTATTAGCATAGCCAGCAAGGTGTACACATTGTTGTGCCAGTCCTGAATTGATTGTGTATATATAGAAGGAAACGTAATTTCGAAGCAATGCTCACATGTTATTTTTCTTTTAAATGAGTTTTTAGTTCATCGTATCTTTATTTTAGATGGAGAATGGAGTTTTGCAGTTCTGAGTGTGCTAGCTGACTCTCAATTAGTTATCTATTGTTGCATGGTAGATTATGTCAAATTCAGTGGGTTCAAACAACACACATGTGGTATCATGAGCTTCTTGTTGGTCTGGTCATGGATTAACTAGATCCTTGGTAAGGGCACAGTTAAGGTGTTGGCCAGAGCTGAGGTCTTTTGGATACTTGACTGGAGAATGGTTGGCTTCCTCATTCACTTAAGGCATTTGTAGTATTTGGTTCTTTGCTTCACTGATGGTTTTATTTTCAGGCTGTTAGCTGCAGGCTTCTTTCAGTGCCTAGAGTCCCTTGAATTTATTGCCACTTTGACCTCCCAACAATTGACACTTGATCATCAAAGGCAGCACCAGAGATAACAATTGTATACACAATTATTTACATTCTATCACTTTTGCTTAGATCATGTCCATATTGTCTCTGTCATAGGAGAGTGAACCCCAGGAGGAGGAATCTTACAGTGGGAGATTCTCCTAAGGGCCCGTCCATGACAATATGGCTGGGAAAAGAAAGATGTTTGGGAGTCACAAGAAAGCTTGCTAGTAGGACTGCATTTCCCCCACAGTATTCTGGTTAGTTCAGTTTGTCTGAAAGCAGGAATCTGTGTTTGAAGTAAAGTGAAGGGCCCCGTATGTCTTGAGGTGCTTTTAAATGGCCTTTTGTCAATGATCTCCTAGAAGAGAGGAAAAAAAAATCCTTTCAGTCTAACTCCTCAACTGTTTGACTGGGTTCCCTGTAACATGAAACATTATTAGGAAACAGACATGCAAATTCATTCAATGTAATTTTTATATGGCATGGAGTCCTCACAAAGAAATCAGAACCTGCTGGGCACAGGTGGCTCAGTCCTGTAATCCTAGCTGTTTTGGAGGACAAGATTGGGAGGATCACAGTTTGAGGCCAGCACACAGTGGATGAGACCCTCTCCTCCCCCAAAAAAAGCCAGATCAAATTGGAATGGAGGTGTGATTAAAGCCTGCTTTTGTAAGTGCAAAAGCCCTGATCTCAAACTCCAGTCCCACGAAACAAACAAAAGAGGGATAAACAAAAGCAAAAACAACAACAACAAAAAACACAAGTCCCACAGAGGCATTTAGGATTGAAATGCTCAAAAACCGATTTGACAGTGTTGAATGAAAAATGCTTCGACAAAAGGGACTGAACTAAGGCCATTAATGGTGGAGCAGTAACTGTGAAAGGTTTATTTGTAGTTTTTTCTGTAACTGGACTCCCCATCTCTGGTGATGTTACTTTCTAGAATAGAAAGGACAAATTCAACTTGTGGTTTTACTTCCTGCTTTAAGACAGAGGGAGATCAGGGTGCCTTTTTTACACCCATTGCTTTTAGTGCTGAAATTTAGTTCAAAATAGTTCTATGTCCAAATGGTAGATTTGGGGCTGGAATATTGTCACCATTCAAAACTCTGAAACAGAAGGTATACTTTAACTGTCTCTTTAGAACTTTTTTCCTTTGCGATTACTGACACATTAGAAAACCTCTGCTATGAGGAAATTTTGTCTTTGCAGCTCACTCTTAGCTGGGGGGTAGGGGGAAGGTGGTGGGGTGGAGAATAAAAGATCCCCCGACTCCACTATTTTAAGCTGTTGCCTTTACTATAGGAAATAAGGATACAGATTATGACACAAAAATTGAGGACAGAAACAACTCGGTGCTATCAAGTTATGCAAATACAAATGCTTTAAAGGAAGACAATATTTAAGCTCCCATGAGTTTTCTATACCTGCTTAACTTGTCTACTTCATTTTCTTTGAGGTGATCGCTTACTACAGCGTCTCCCCAAGGTTTATACCAGTAGTACTACCAAGATAGATTTCCCCAAACCACTTTTACACTACCTAGAAGTGGCCTCAGACTTTTAGCATTGATTCAGATTGATCATGTGTTAGATATGCTGTGCTAAGTCATTCATAATTAACAACCTTGCACGGCAATTTAAGGTGTCATTGCAAAATTCCCAGCACTTTCAAGTGAAGATATAGGTGGCCCTGAAAAGGGCGTTGGGTTTGGCCAGAAATTAGGGCAGGCTTGGTCATCCTGCAAGGAAAACCCTGTACCTGCTTCTGGCCTAAGAATTGCGCACTGTAGGCGTGTAGTATAGCGCCTGGGAGAAAAATTGCACAGCTTTTTGTGATCAAGTGGGTGGCCCTAAAAAGGGCCTTTAGGAATACAGTCAAGGACAGGGAATGGGGCTTTTAGCCTCCGAAGCCGTAGAGGGTGCGGCCCTGGCGCTTGAGCGCGTAGACCACGTCCATGGCGGTCACCGTCTTGCGCTTGGCGTGCTCCGTGTAGGTGACGGCGTCCCGGATCACGTTCTCCAGAAAAACCTTGAGCACCCCGCGGGTCTCCTCGTAGATGAGGCCGGAGATGCGCTTGACTCCGCCGCGGCGGGCCAGGCGCCGGATGGCGGGCTTGGTGATGCCCTGGATATTGTCGCGCAGGACCTTGCGGTGGCGCTTGGCGCCTCCCTTTCCCAGGCCTTTTCCTCCTTTGCCTCTTCCAGACATAGCGAACAGCTGCTGCTATCACACTACGGAAGTGTGAGAACTACCTGCAGTCCCTTTTATGTCAGTTGTGCGGACCTTTTAGGAAACTGAAATGGCGCAAACAGGATGTTGTCGCCTAGTAATTTCCGGTGGCGCTGGTCGCCGCCTTTGCCACCTTTGACCCTTCCGACCCTCACCGCGATCAGACAAGTTCAAAGCAGGATAGGAATTATACCACTTGGGTGACTAGGAAACCCTTTCTTCCAATCAGATAGCGGACCTTATTGAAAACCACATATACAGGCGGAAAAGCATAGGAGTCAGGTTCAAGCAACAAACTTAATCCCGCCCAGAAATTCCTGAGAGCAGATGGAGACTATTGTGTGCTCCTGTTCATTTTTTTATTTCAATTTTAATAAATTTCTGTCAGCCACAAATTGAAGCATTTTTCCCTACTAAGGTAACATTTATTTAGCAGGTTTATATTACTTAGGGATTGTAGGAAATCTCAAAAATTATGCATTGCTATGCATTTAAGACGCATATTTGAATTGCTTGTGTCCCTTCGGGGCGGGTGGCGGGGGGGGGGTTGGGGGGGGAATGCACTTTAAAGTGAAAGGGTTAGTGATATTGGTAAGATGGTCTTGATCTGAAATCTATCCGGCGTCGAGAGATTCCTTTCTCCCAAGGTCATCACCATCTCCATGTTCCATGTACTATTCGTTTTAGGGTTGCATTGTTTGATTAAATAGGAAACAGTTGTGACATTTGAAAGTTGGGTGTTGCTGCTGAGGACTGAAATTTTACTTTTATTTTTACTTACTTTTTTTCCAGTATTAGGGTTTGTACTCTGGGCCTGCTGCTTGCAAGGCAGGCACTAGACCTAATTAATTTTATTTTAAAATCTGATTCTCCAGTCAGTTATTGGAAAATAGGTATGTTTGAGCAGCTCATGTGTGAAAAATTTATTTTTTGACAGAATTTTAGAATTTTAATGTAAAGATATTATTTCCAATAAAAATAGAATGTCACATTGAATATAATATACCCCAAGATTTACCAGGAATAAAGTATGTGAAATATTGTGTTAATAATGATTTTATGTTGATTATATGTTGAAGTAATATTTTGATATTTTTTGGTTAAATAAAATACATTATTAAGATAAATTCACCTGTTTTTAATTTCCAAAATGGTTACTAGAGGATTTAAATTTATATTATGAGACTTGTATTATTGTTATTGTTTTTATAATGGACTTCACAGGCAGGATTCTTTCTTCTCCCTCTCTATGCAATGATTCCTTACAAAATCTTGATAGCAGGGTTATTTTAAAAAAAGTGGACATTCAATATATGTGAATACACACAAACAGTTATAGAGACTGTACTCAAGTCAGAATGAGGCATTATATAAAAGTAAATATGTTGAGACATTAAGGGAGGCTTGTCAAGTAGACCATTATCCATAAAGGCAAGAACCTTTGGTAATATTGAAAATTAATAACATTTGAATTCTTCACAACTAATATGTTGGTAAGAGAATACTACTTAAAATTCTATGCTAACTTTCTACTTAAGTGTATTTTGTTTCTGGGGGGCATCCAGAACTGATTCTTAAAATAATTTGTGTCATCAAAATTTAAGTCTTGATATATGTACAATGTAGTGTATGCTCTGCTGATTCAAAAAAGAAGAAATCATTGTGAGAGGACACAGTGACTTCATGAGAACAATGATGGCTAGAAAATTATCTACTGTTCCTGGAAGGTTAACAAAGGCCAAGAAAGAGTGAGATAAAAAATTCAGGTCAATTGTCTAATGGTCTATTAAGAATAAAAGTTAAGGCTGGGTGCCCTCCTGTAATCCTAGCTTCTCAGGAAGCTGAGATCAGGAGGATCATGGTTTGAAGCCAACTCAGGCAAAATGAAAGTGAGACCCTATCACAAATATACCCAACATATAAAAAGGACTGGTGGAGTGGCTCAAGTACCTGTCTACCAATCATGAGGTCCTGAGTTCAAATTACACAAGAAAAAAATAAATGAAAAGTTACATTACCTGCTATTTGATGAATGAGTAAAGTAAGAATGTCAAGGAGCTATAGCATGAGGATTTATAGAAATTTATCTACATTTAAAAATTATTTTTTAGCCAGGATTACAAGTGTGCCAAAAAAAAATTAGAGCTGAAAGTAAGAAAAAAAAGTGGGACTATCGTATCCAGTATAAAAAGATTACTTCATTTGTCTGTGAAATTGAACACCATTCCCCCAATGTCATCTTATCAACATTGGTAAGCACATGCTGGGAAGGTGGAAAATTCAGACAGGAAGTAGATCCTCATCAGGGGTGTCCTCACTGAAGATATGAAGGGAAGAACTGGGCACTGTAGTGTAGGTCTGAGCCCTTTGTAGGGATATGAGTGCATAGTCTAAAAGACCTATGCATGGTCTTCAAAAATATAGGAGAATGTGATTCTGCTTGTCTTGGTTAGGGGTTCCTTATTAGTGTATTAAATTTTAACTTGTAAGATTATTTATTGCAATAATTTTTGTCCATTACTGAGTATAATTATGTCTGCCCAGTACTGAAAATAGCTTAAAGGTTATGGTGTAATTGTACTATGAAAAAAATACCATTTTTGATTTAAATTTCCCTACCATACTTCTATTTTCCATAAACCAGGTATACATTCTTGATAATGTACTATATTCCTTTGAACCAGTTTCCTCAGTGATGAGTTACATATTAGAAACATATTCATTATATATAAATATGTGATTTATAATTTCATATTTTACCCTTTGATAACAATCATAATGTCATGAACAATTCTCCCTCCATAGCAGGCATTTGCTTCTTAGGCTTCTTTGGGCTATTGAATGGAATGGATTCTATTATGAACTCATTTCTTTTACTTTCCCTAGACATAGACCCCAATGGTTACAAATATTTGTAAATGTTACATAGCTTTTCTTATGTAGGCCCATCATCAATAATAGCACCTTCATTTACTAATTAGTAGCAGAAAACCATTGTACACACATCCTTGCCCTATCAAACATGTATGTTTAGTTTGAAAGACTATAAATTCCACTTTCTAGTTTGAAAGACAATTCGAGGAAGAAGTAAAGCCATTTAAAAAAAACTAATAGATTATGCATAAATGCAGCTACTTACTAGGAATCACCAAATCTTTGAAAATCTACGTGTGTTTTTGTGATTACAGCTTTTAAATATAGTGAAATCTTTTTTTTTCAATAAGGGGGGGTAAAATAAAAATACATGTATTGAAACAGTTTTTATTGACAAAGTGAATGGATATAGTTTTGAAAAGTGCCTTTTGCAGTTTAGACGAAATAATAGACCTGGGTTGTTTTCTTCCCCTTAGATGTGACATGTAAGCTGGGAGTCCTAGGGCGACTTCGGTTAGATAAAGAGCAGTTTGAATGTCCTGGAAGAGTGTCACAAGCCCCCTAGTCTTTACTGCTGAACTTAAGCGTGAGCTCAACCACCTGAAGTGGCAGAGTGCACTGGGGCTTCTTCAAAGTGCTGGTGGCCTGTAATCCCTTTTGTGTCGGCTTGGTGGCTGGCCATCTGCTTGCTGTCTGCCTGGTGGTGTGGGCCATGGCTTAGAAAAACCACTAGATCCAGAAAAGTACGGTGCTTTTTCAGACCATATTTTTAGGGATACATAAGTCTGACTTTAGGGATACATAAGTCTGACTTATCTGTCCTGTGCTTGGAACTTAGTTTTCAGATTGCTGTCATGAGAAATGGATTTCCGTTGGAGTAATTATTTTTTTTCTAGTTTAGTATGCATTTAAATTTAGGATATAGAAGTGTTTATTGTTGATTTCAGAGAATTTTGTTTACTGCAATTTCCTGAAAAGTAATAGACTACAAACTTTAAAAAAGTTTTATTGGTAGGTCTGCCACCATTTTCTAAATTTAAAAAAACCCGCCATCAAATGTGAAAGGCCAGTTTTCCTTCTTTGTTCTCCGATTTTTCTTATTCGAATTTTCAAAATGTGAGGTATTTGGACTTAAAGAATATTTGGACTTAAAGAATATTTGGATAAACACCTTATGTACACTTACATGTTGAACATGTATGCCATGTGTTCATATCCACGAACAAATTCCCAAAATGAACCAACATGACGCATTATGGTTGCCATCCTTTTTCACTATTTGCAGCAATTTCTGATCCTGATACAGAATTCCACTTCCAAAACCAATTACTTTTGTGCATGCATAAATGTGCTTTTACTGAGAAGTTAAATAGTACTTTTCGCCTCCATTTTGTGGTCAGTATAATGTATCCAACTGTTTCAAAACTGACAGCTCCAAAGAAACTGAGATCCAATTTTATAATACCACTTTCTGTAGCTCAAAACTGTCAAATGGTCCTATTAACTACATTTCCATCCTTTGACAAAATGACTTGGACTTTACATAGCTTCAGAAGCATTCCAGCACTTTACAGACAAACTAGGTGGCTCTGAAAAGAGCCTTTGATTTTTAGGAATAGGGATCGATGCAGGACTATAAAGCGGTTCACTTGCCCTTGGCCTTGTGGTGGCTCTCAGTCTTCTTGGGCAGCAGCACAGCCTGGATGTTGGGCAGCACACCACCCTGGGCGATGGTCACTCGGCCCAGCAGCTTGTTGAGTTCTTCGTCGTTACGGATGGCCAGCTGCAGGTGGCGCGGGATGATGCGGGTCTTCTTGTTGTCCCTGGCCGCGTTGCCCGCCAGCTCCAGGATCTCGGCGGTCAGGTACTCCAGCACCGCCGCCAGGTACACCGGGGCGCCGGCTCCCACCCGCTCGGAGTAATTGCCTTTGCGGAGCAGGCGGTGGACACGGCCCACGGGGAACTGGAGACCAGCACGGGAGGACCGGGTCTTAGCCTTGGCGCGAGCCTTGCCTCCCTGCTTGCCACGTCCAGACATACTGACTTAACAAAAGTAAGTTAAGCTGTCGGGAGAAAAGATACTACGAAATGTTGGGATAGAAGCAAAAACAAGATACTTATAGTGGTAGGTGGAAGTGTAAAAGGTCATATTCGATTGGTTAAAGTGAATTTTTTGCTAACTAACCAATAAGAAAGGAGAATGGATGGCATCAAATTTGCATATTCTTGTCACTAATACACTTTCAAATCAGGTTTGGGCGTGCTTGAATCCTTATTTGCGTAGAAGCCCTATAAAAGCCCAGCTTCTAGGCACTCGTAATTCTTCATTGGTACTTTTTCTTTTTTAGGTTTTTTTTGTTGTTTTGCTATGCCTGAACCAGCGAAGTCCGCTCCAGCGCCCAAGAAGGGCTCCAAGAAGGCGGTGACCAAGGCGCAGAAGAAGGACGGCAAGAAGCGCAAGCGCAGCCGCAAGGAGAGCTACTCCGTGTACGTGTACAAGGTGCTGAAGCAGGTCCACCCGGACACCGGCATCTCGTCCAAGGCCATGGGCATCATGAACTCGTTCGTCAACGACATCTTCGAGCGCATCGCGGGGGAGGCGTCTCGCCTGGCGCATTACAACAAGCGCTCGACCATCACGTCCCGGGAGATCCAGACGGCCGTGCGCCTGCTGCTGCCCGGGGAGCTGGCCAAGCACGCCGTGTCCGAGGGGACCAAGGCCGTCACCAAGTACACCAGCTCCAAGTAAACTTTGTACTACAACTACATCAACAAACCCAAAGGCTCTTTTCAGAGCCACCTAAGTTTTCGTTTAAAAGCGTTGTATTACACTTGTTTAGATATCTTAAGCCTTGTGTGTGTGTGTGTGTGTGTGTGTGTGTGTGTGCGCGCGCGTGAGAGAGACTTGTCAGGGCTAGGGTGTTTTCTGCACGCATTCGTCTCTACAGTATGCTTACCCTTTATTACAACCATTTGCAAAAGCGAGTTTAGTATTGTGTGAGAACCACTTATGTTAATAGGTTTGGGGATGTTTTTAGGCTTAATGAAATACCCCAAACTAGCATATCTTGTCATGTCTAAACACCTTTTTGGTCGAGGTATTGATTTTAGTTGCCTACTAGGTATGCTTCCTTTCCGAATCTTGTTTACCACCTAAAAGTTAAATAGAACTTTTTACATACAGATTATGACCCATTAAAAAGTCCGTCTGTCACTTCATTCCAAACCCATTTAAGCAACCAAACCTCAAGTATCCTCAGTGGCCCCCTACAGGGTAGACACGAAGGGAGTAAGATGGAAGGCACTGGTTTTAGTTATACTCTGGAAAAAAAGAAAAACTAACAAAAAACCTTTCCTCTTAATGAAGTTATGTGTGAGTACCAGTAAGTTAGGGTGTTTGGTAGGTTTGCTATTAGAATTACCTCTCCTTAGTGGTGAGACTAGTAAGGTAGAAATCTTGATGATAGGGAGATTTGCGCAGGATCGAAAGACTGTACTCAATTTTGAATTAAGAATTACAGCGTTTTAGCCACCTGGAGTGTAAGCGGTTTAGGATCTCTGTCTCACGAAGTCTAAGTTCACGAACAAGCAAGTGTAAATGCAAAATCAGAAAAGTTTATTTAGCGAAAGAATGAAAGCTCCGTGGGAAAAAGATGTGTACATCATGGGTTCTTGTCACTTAGTTTGTGAAGATTCATTTCTCCGTGTAGGAGAACTAGCTTAATTGTTTATGCTAGTTAGGCGTTGAGCATGTATACTTTTTTATTGGTTCAGTAATGTGTTTGAGGTGGGGCTCGCTAGCAGGGTAGCAAGCGTGAAGGCTCGGCTCTCAATCAGGTCCGCCGTCCCGCCGTTTTTTTCTTTGGTTAGAGATCAAAAGGTCAGTTTCGGTAGCTTTATGCTATTACTCCTTTGTTCCTGTGATTAACTTCTGATTTTACTTTTGACCTGTTTCTTTACTGTGTTTACTTCTCACTCCTAATCTCTCGTTGACATTGCCTTTGTAAGAATTGGTTAGAGAAGACATTGCCTCTCTGTGTGTGGGACAACTAGCTGTGGAGAAAGCTTTTTGTCTTTGACTTCCAAAAATCTTTTTCATTGGATGTGCCTCTGTGTTGTGCGGCCCACATACTCCAGCTTTGCCCTCAAAATTTGCAGACTCGTATTGTTTTTCCTGTGTGCTGCCCTGTGTTATATTTTGCTCCTGCTGATCTCAGTTGTCACTGAAATATCTTAGGCCAACTCCTTTCTAAGCTTTCTAATATCTGTGAAAGTTTTATTAAGTTGCCTTTATACAAACTTCTTAAGAGTTTGATTTTTCTGGCAGTATATTTGCCCATAGGTAGGACCAAGCCTCCCTTCATTTAAATTGTCATTTTTTAGATTTGACTCATTTGCTTAATGTACTTCTGCTAGAAACTGGGATTTTTATAATCGTAAGAGACATGTTCCTTGCCTTTATGGAACTTTGTTCCTGTAGGGTTTGTCACTCTTAATTTTCCCAGGTACATGAAATATTTATTTTAGGAGGCAGGAGCGGTGAGCTGAATTTTAATGCAGCCTAGATACTTTTCAGAAAACAATGCTCCCTCCCTAAGCCTAAGAGAAGTTTTCTTTTTAGCCTACTCAGTATTCCTATGCTTTAAGGATTCTGAGGATGTAGATCAGCGATACAGGGCTTCAACATTTAGAAACCTCTGGAATCCAGCCCTACGAATAAGATTCCACTAAGAAAGATGTAGCCTAGTCTGTGGAGAGGATAAAGCTTTGAGAATGTTATAGAGGATAAAGTATGTTTTAATTTTATCAAAACACTTTTGAAAGAATGTAGTATTAAAGGTCATATTTGGTATTTGAGTACTGCCATGCAAGTGAATGAACTTTGATTCCTTCTGTTCTTCTCATAACTGAAAGTATTATTAAAGTCAACTTGACATGTGAAAAAACATGCAATGATTACTATAAAAACATTTTAGAGTGGCTTATAGGTCAAGAAGTTAGGGACATGAAGTAAGCTCCCATCATCAATCTTACATTTTAATATAATGAATGCAAGCTTTTCAAAGTATTATGAATATTTACTAGAAGTCATAATAGTGTTACAAATGAGTAGGGGATGTGCTTTCCCTGAAGGTAGAATTTCTAATGTGAAAACAAAAAAAAGAAATATTAGTTGTTAAAGCCAGAGCAATTTCAAAATTATGTGAGCCTGTGATAATTACTAAGAATTAGATCTGTTAGGTCTCTGGCATTCTTGGGGTGGGTGGAAGGACCCGAGGCTACACCTTAAAACCAGACCCCTTGATTTATGACTGCTTGTTTCTCCTTGCCTGATTGTTTCTCGGCTTGCAAAACAACTCAGGAACTTCTAGTTACTCAACTAGCCAGGCATATTGACCTGTTCCATCTGGTGATCGCACATAATCAGAGACCAGAGACTCTCTCCCTCTCTCATGGCTTGGCCCTTCCTATAAAGCCTACTACCCAATTCACCCAAGTCGCTGCTCCCTGATCTCTGGCGGACAGCCCTGAGGTCTGGATTTCTAATAAATCTTTCCTTTCCACTTGTGGCGTGCTCTTAATTCGGCAGTACCTTACAAGATCATCATGAATTTAATTATAGCTATACATTTAAAGTTCAATATATATACACTTATGATTCTAAATACTATTACTGAATACATGAATAATTCTTGAACTGGTGTGCTTGTATTAGTTTCTTATTGATGTTCTGCAAGTCATTACATCCTTTGTGATTTAAAACTGCAATATTATAGTTGTCTTGTTCTGTAATACGATTTTTTTGTGGACTTCACTGAGTTAAAATCAAGATGTTAGGTAGATTTTAGCTTAAGAGGTGAAGAGCTAAAATCTGTTACTTTGCTTTTTTAGGCTACTCTCTCCTTGGTAAATGGTTCCTTCACTTCATTGGAAAACCCTGAAGTCTATGGCTACTTATTTTCCCACAGTCATTTCTCTAATTCTATATTGAGATTCTCTTGGCTTCGATGATCTAGGAAAACCTTATTTTAAGGTCAGCCAATTAATAAACCTAATTCTGTCTACAACCTTACCTGCCTGTTTTGTTTTGTTTTGTTTTTCCAGAGAAACTAATACTCCAGGCCTTATGATATGGATCTTTCTGGGGTAGCATACTTACGCCCAGCATCAAGAGGCACGGTATTTGTAGGATTTGATAGAAATGTAATTTCTGCTCTGAGGGGAAAACAAATAGGGTCACATTTTGGGGTACAGTTTCAAGGAGTTTATCTAATTCTCTAAAGTGTTTGAAAACTTTACATTAGTTACTTCTTGAATTACACAAAGCAAAAATTACTATGATACCATAAAATCTCACATAAAGCTATCTAGTATTTTTATTGTTGCTTCATTTGAATATACATGTATACGTTATGTGAATGTGCTTAGAGGAAAATGTTATGAAAGAAACAATGAAATATGGAATATTTATCCCCAACCCCCACTGGGTTGAAATTTAAAATTTTGTTAGCATTTATTGCACAGGGGATGCCATTTATGGCAGCGATTAACCTTAATATTGTAATTGGCTTATATTTTCAATACCTACCTTATATCTACAGAGGACAGGTTATTAGTATAGGTGCAGCAACACGGATTAACTTTTTTACCACAAAAAAACAGACTTCTTTCATAGTTCCCCATAAATATGAACGTGGTGGCAGTATTTTGCCAGTGGACTGATCAATTTTCTAGAGCAAAATCATAACAAAAGGTCTCCCACGAAGTCATAACATATATTAACATGAGTTAATTTAGAATTATGGTGGTAAATTCAAGAGAAAAGAATTTATAATTAAACCCTACTCGACAAAGAGACATGGAAAGTATTACAACTCCTTAGGTGAGAATATTAAGTGGCTCTTAAAAGAACCTTTTTAAGTTATATTTTTCAAAGTAGAGGTTGATCACTTGGAGCTGGTGTACTTGGTGACGGCCTTGGTCCCCTCGGACACGGCGTGCTTGGCCAGCTCCCCGGGCAGCAGCAGGCGCACGGCCGTCTGGATCTCCCGGGACGTGATGGTCGAGCGCTTGTTGTAATGCGCCAGGCGAGACGCCTCCCCCGCGATGCGCTCGAAGATGTCGTTGACGAACGAGTTCATGATGCCCATGGCCTTGGACGAGATGCCGGTGTCCGGGTGGACCTGCTTCAGCACCTTGTACACGTACACGGAGTAGCTCTCCTTGCGGCTGCGCTTGCGCTTCTTGCCGTCCTTCTTCTGCGCCTTGGTCACCGCCTTCTTGGAACCCTTCTTGGGCGCTGGAGCGGACTTCGCCGGCTCAGGCATAACGACTGCTGGATCTTGACACTTTTGTAGATATGAAACAATTAATAGCCACAAAACTGGTAATATTTGTAGGGCTTGTATGCAAATATAGTTTTTATTACCTGAGAACTTCATTGGCTGACTTGTCAAATGCAGTGTTTTTACATGCAAATTAGGTACTCCTGACTCTTCTTTGTTATTGGTTAATAGTGTAACGATTAATGTAGCCAATCACATGCGTAATTTACAATCCGGACTGCCAGTATAATTGCTTCTAGTTCGCTAGACATACTGTTCTCATTTCTTTTTTCTTCATCTAGGTTGTCTGTAGTTTGCTAAAATGTCTGGACGTGGAAAACAAGGTGGCAAAGCCCGTGCTAAAGCTAAGACGCGCTCCTCAAGGGCTGGTCTCCAGTTTCCCGTGGGCCGTGTCCACCGCCTGCTCCGGAAAGGCAACTATTCCGAGCGGGTCGGAGCCGGCGCCCCGGTGTACCTGGCGGCGGTGCTGGAGTACCTGACCGCCGAGATCCTGGAGCTGGCGGGCAACGCGGCCAGGGACAACAAGAAGACCCGCATCATCCCGCGCCACCTTCAGCTGGCCATCCGCAACGACGAAGAACTCAACAAGCTTCTCGGCAAAGTCACCATCGCCCAGGGTGGTGTGCTGCCCAACATCCAGGCTGTGCTGCTGCCCAAGAAGACCGAGAGCCACCACAAAGCCAAGGGCAAGTAAAGTGGAAAAAATACTTTTTAAACAAAGGCTCTTTTCAGAGCCACCCACGTATTCATTAAAAGAGCCTGTATTTTCCCTAGTTTTGTTAGAAACTTAGCATTTTCTAATCTCTGTATCGAAGAGGATGCACTTATATTTACCTTTATCTGAAACTAGGTATTTCAGTTATAAATGTGAAAATTTCAATAAAACTGGCAGAAGACTAACACAGATTATTACAGAAGAACACGGCAGAGGTCTTTCAGCACTGGACATTGTGACAATGCGAAGTGTAGACTTGTTTGAGAAGCATGTCTTGGTAATGTACGAATAGTAAACGTGCACTTTTAAGTTGCAGTGTGGTTTGGACAACAGGCATATTAATGAAAAGTCATGCAATTAATAGGGTCTTTTGTGTGTTTTGTGCCAGTAGGTGTATGATTTGGAAATACAAAGCTACATTTTTAGTCAAGTGGCCCTTTCAGCTTAACGCAGCACAAATTTGGGAACGCTAGACATTTTGGTTGTAATTTTTAGTATTTTTTCTTCGTTTAAAAAAAATGTAAGTTACAATGAAGACTAAGTTTAAACCTGAAGAGCTTTCACAAGATATGCTGTACTTTTGTGAAAAGTATGTTAGTGATAGAAAACGTCAGATTTAAAATTGTTTCACAATTTATTTTCATGGTGCACTGGAATCAATTTTTATTTAAAAAATCTCGACAGTTCAGACGAAAATTTTGGTTTTAGACTTTCTATTGAAAATTATTAGGATAATAGAAAATCACTTGGCCAATCACATTTTAGCGAGCGTTTCTGGCGCCAAAATTTAAAAATTTATTCAGCAAGAAGCACATATTGTAATAACTAGTAAAGTTCTGCGGAGAAAATTTCTGGAAAGGGACAAGGATTGCACAAGCGAGAAGCGATGCAGGGAAAGACTACAGAAAGACGTCCATATTTTGTCCAAATGCATGGTATGTTTGGCATCTGAAAGTCAATGTCGCCAACAGTATTTTCTTGGTGGGCTGCAAGGTAAGGACTGTCTCGTCCAATCAGAACGGGACTCTTCATATATATACACAGGTAGAGGGGTGTACAGTTTCATTTTACCATAATTTTCTGGGTCCCTTGGGTTTGCAATGGCTCGTACCAAGCAGACGGCTCGCAAGTCCACCGGCGGCAAGGCGCCGCGCAAGCAGCTGGCCACCAAGGCCGCCCGCAAGAGCGCGCCGGCCACCGGCGGCGTGAAGAAGCCTCACCGCTACCGGCCCGGCACCGTGGCGCTGCGCGAGATCCGCCGCTACCAGAAGTCCACCGAGCTGCTGATCCGCAAACTGCCGTTCCAGCGCCTGGTGCGCGAGATCGCGCAGGACTTCAAGACCGACCTGCGCTTCCAGAGCTCGGCCGTCATGGCGCTGCAGGAGGCGAGCGAGGCCTACCTGGTGGGCCTGTTTGAGGACACCAACCTGTGCGCCATCCACGCCAAACGAGTAACGATCATGCCCAAGGACATCCAGCTGGCCCGTCGGATTCGGGGGGAGAGGGCATAGATTGTTTTAATGAGCTAGTGCTAAGCTCAACCCAAAGGCTCTTTTCAGAGCCAACCACTTTCTCTGTAAAAGATCTGTGTGTATATTTCTGGTGTTATTTGTAAACCTGAACCTCCACAATTATCATTTTTTCTGTTCTTTGCCCCTTGCAGTTTGCTACTGGCGTTTTAGCCTTTGAAGTGTTTCCCTAGGCATGACTAGGGAGCTTTATATGCTGGCCTTGACTTTGTTTCCTTGGAGGCTGACTTGAACTTGTGGTCAGAGTTACTTGGTCAGCACCAACGTGCCATTGCCACGGTCTTAAGACCCAGTTTCATGAGGTTGTCCTCTATGTTATTATCTGCTAGTTTCCAGCTCCTTACAGCGAGGTGGCTAGTTTAACAGGTTAATTTGTGGAGATCTATGAATGGTGATGAGACCTGTACAGAGGGGCCCCAGGCCTTGTGCTGGGCGACACTTCCAGAATTGGAGAGCCTTTTTCTTTATTGGTGTCCTTTTTGAGTGAGAGGAAATCGAGGCAAGTGGAGTTTCTGAAATGATTTCAGATTGGAACATTTATCTAAATAAGTTGTCTGGTAGTTAGAGCTCCCAGGCTGCAAATTTGTGTACACAAACACACACACACACACACACACACACACACACACACACACACGGCACCATGATTGCTTCAGAGTTCCTCTTCCAGCTTTGCACGTAAGTAGTGTTGGCTTTGTTCCCAGAAATGTGTTGGTACCTCTTCATGAAAGCTAGTAATAATAATAGTAAAGGAGTCACACCAATTTTATTCTGCAGTGATATGGGACTCCTGCAGCTCTGAGAACTTTAGTTTCTCCAATTGTCATCACATACGCTTAAGACTGAAGACACTGAATCTCAGATTCACAGGTCTAAGAGACAACTTCATTTAATAAATAAAACATTTCCCTTGGTGTCTTCAGCTACAGTGCCCCAGTAATATCCTCCACATTCTTGGCTTTTCACACCTTAACCGCTTAGTTATCATTAAGATTTATTCAGAAAATCTGTCATATGAAAAATAACATACGTTTTTTTCTGGATTTCTCCACAAGAACAACAGTAACAAATACTTGAAACCATGATTCTTCCTGATAAGAAAAAAAAAATCATTATTTGAGGCAGAACAAGCATTATAATGGCTTTTTGTGACTATTTGGAAGGTTAGCTAATTTGGAGGTTGAAGTTGCTAAAAATTTCTGTAGAAAATGGGAAAGGCACTGATTACTGATTCTCTTGAGATACTAGTGGGGACTATTTGCCAATAGCTGATCTCAAGGGAAAGCTAGGCTAAGGCAGCAAGGAGAAAGAGTTGGGCTCTTTTATAAGTTCAAAACCAATTCTTTTCTTGATTTTACTGAGCAGAATCAGTTGTTAAAATGTTCATTAGTCCTTGGGTATAAAGATGTGTGATAGGGAAGGTAGACTTTGGGAAAGTATGCAAGTAATAGGATCAAAGAATACATCAACACATACACATGAAATTTATACACTTTTACATACAGTACAGTTCTAGTTTAAGCAAGTAAACATGAGGGAACATTGTACAGCTTATGCTTAATGTTGAGTGGCAAATAGAAGGCAGAAAGAGATTCAATTCAATTTTCTTCACTCCTTAAACTTTGTGTTGTGAAGCATGTAAACGTCTGTGTCTTATTTGGATGACAAAGGAGAAATGCTGGCAAAGTCAAAGAAGTTAGGATTTTACATTTCTCCTTTAGCAAAATCAACAAATGAGTCATTACTTCATGTAGTTCATTTATCTTGGATATGAAGAAAAGTTAATAAAATAAAAAAAAAACAATTTAAATGGCTAAGAAACCAGATCCATATAATTTTAGTGGGTATTCTTTTTTTTTTGGAGCTCTAGTTTTCCTAATATTAAAATGGCTTTGACTTATTATAACTCATTTCCTGTGGCACCAACAAAGGAAGAACTACTTCAGCCTTCCAAGCATAAGAATTCTTCAAGGTACTGCCCCATTTACCTTCATGGATTAATGAGTAATTTTTACGTAGGGAACTCTGAAGGGCTCTCTTCAGGCCTGACATCTTGTCTAAATATAGAAGTTACATCTGTGGATATTTTTCTCAACCTTCTTATAGGGCCTGTACATCCTCTATCTCTCTGCTCTGATTCATGTTCATTACTCTGAGTGAAATAGTCAAGTGATTTTCAAATTTATATGACCCATGTTCTTGTAGTTTTAGAATTTTAGATACTAAGCTCTGTAGTATACAATTTAGTCTTTTTTTTTTTTTTTTTGGCAGTACTGAAATTTCAACTCAGGGTTTCATGCTTGTTATGCAGGATCTCTACAGCTTGAGCCAGGCTTCTAGCCCCACTGTCTATATACATGTCCTTAAATCGCCATTTTGGCAGTGTGGTTAAGTAGAACTAGCACAGGATTTGCAAAAGCACTGACTTATATTTGAGGATTTATATTTTCTCCTTATAAGCTAAATGATCCTGGTCAAATCATGAATCATGTAGTATTTCACAATATTGTTTTTCATCCCTTTTCTCACTCTTCAATTCTACTTTAAAGTTAAGATATACTTCAAACTAAACTAATACATATTGAAATGTTGATATGCATTATTTCCTATCTCTCAAACTGAATGAGATCTTCCTCTGTTTTGAATTCCTATATTGATCGTCCTGTTGGCTGTTATATTGTTTCATATTATCTGTATATCTGTCCACTTTGAATTCTTCCCAGTAGATCATAAACAATCGAAAAGTATGGAGTTGGTTTTACCAGTAAGTTATGGAGTCATTTCTAAAAAAAAAAAAAAAAAAAAAAAAGCATAAATATATATAGAAAATATGTGTGGAACCGGAACAGAACTGACTAGTGTCCTGAGCCAAACTCCAGTGTTTGTTTTTTTTTCCCCCCTGCTATTATTATGTCTACTTCAACATCAGTGTTTGCTACATCAGTATGCCTGCTTTGTGTAATGCTGGTAACATAATAGGGCTGGATTCTTGTTACTCATTTTATTATTTTTATATGTTTATTTTTTGTCAGTACTGTTGTTTGAACTTAGGGCTTCATGCTTGCTAGGCAGGTGCTGTACCATTTGAGCAACTCTGCCAGCCCCTTGTTAATTATTTTTAAATATTTTTATTTACTATTTTTACATTTACTCAAGTATGTATATGTTCAAACGTTGTTAATCACTTTAAATTGAATTAGAGCCTCACATATTTTATTGGGGTTTATACAACATTAAAGATACAGAGCAATTATCAAATACATGTCTTGTTCCAATTTCTACCAGTGAACTCTGAGTGGCCTATACTATGCCTCTTTTTCTAAGAAGAGTATAATCCTAACACTAACCTAGACAGATAATTGATGTTCAGTGAGCAGATTCATATTTAAGATAAAATAAAGGAATGTGAAACTTAGATGGGCTTTTTGTCACATTCACATGTTGGATGGATAAAATAATTCTGGCAACTAAATTAATCTCTGATACCACTACTTGAGAAGGAATACCATTTATTACTGAGCAAATGTTAACAGATTTACACACATGTGAAGCAATATAGAAGTGACTAGAAAATTAGAACAAAATTTCATCTATCTCCCACAGCAAAGCTGAGTAAGAACTTGTTTTATTGCACCTTTTGACAATGTCCTGTACAACTTAAGAGAGACTTCTAAACTAATTCCAGAGGTATATTTAATCACATCTAGAAGTTATTTGGCTCATGACTTTAGGCGATATCTCTACATTATTAAAATTGGAGACTGGCTTTAATCCCTAAAATGGCTTATCTGTACTCCTAAGGGAAGAGTAAAAACTTAGGCCCAATATTTCTCCAAGAAAATGCTCTAAGAATAGATGGACAAAAAAGTATCTCTTCATCCTTCACTAATAGAGAAAATAAATCATTGCCATTACATTTGCATATCTTCATCAGATTGTTAGAAATATAGATTTTTCATTCCAACATGTAATTTCTCAGTGATTCTCTCTGAATATTTCTGCAACCCTGAATCTTTAAGGTCTTGAGGAATTCTCTAGAAGAGGAATCCTTAACTATTTTTGTCATGTACTTATTTGTATATCTGATGAAGCTTTTGGGCCCCTTTTTAGAATTTTTTCTACTTTTTAAAATTTTATTTTCAACATTTTTACATGTATTTACATGTATACTATATTTGGGCCACCTAGACTATTGTTTTAAATGTGTAACATAATATACACAGAATTACAAAGGGCAAGGATCATACTAACATATCAAATTATAAAAAATCCAACTTTGTATAATATTAACTTCTTTGTTAATACATTAAATAATTATGGCTACCCATATGAGTAAGCATTATCATTTTGCCACAGTATAGGGGTAATATATTTAAATGATATTTAGAGATATTGACAACTGCAATGTGATTTGAATAATAGCAGGTCCTTCCAATTATAATGCTTGTTTACTGAATTCATAAATGGAGGGAATGGTAAGGTTTGATTGGAGAATACAAAAATCTGTGTATCCTATGATAGGAACCTTACTCTGCAATATTTCTATGTATCATTAACTCATGGAACATCTGTGATGAATTTGATCCTTCTCATAGGTCACGTACGAAAAGCAAAATCTATCCAAAGCAGGGCCTGAACACCTCAGGTAGATTAATGATGAGTTAAGTTTAAGTATTTATGATTTTAAGTTCTCAAAACCAGGATTTAGATAATTAGGATACTTTCTTAAGCTTGTCACTTTAGAGAGGTGGATATTTATTTATGTATTTAATTTATTTGAGACAAAGTCTTGCTAGGTAGCCAGTTAACCTGGAACTTGCTATGTAGCCCAGGCTGGCTGAAAACTGTCCATCCTCCTCCTTCATCCTCCTGAGTACTGGGATTACAGGCCAGTGCCATATGTCTGGTTTAGCAAAGCAGAGTGGAGATGTTGAGAACAGTCACAGTACTACACATACATATATGCCATAAAATTAATATGGCATACATATATGCCATAAAATTAATGTTCAGTGGTTGCTCATTTGCAATTTAGGTAATCTAAATTAT